TAATGAAACATATGCATGGATGAACAGTTCATAAGATCAATAAGACGCATTTAGAAAATAGATAGGGTGAAATTCCATTTCATGCCGACTTTAAAACATAAAAAATAATTATAATAATAAATAAATAAAATAAAAATCACCCCAAGATCATTTGTGGTTGGATGGCCTAATAACTGCGCCATAAATATCTAAAAAAATGAAAGAAAAGATTATGAAGGTGAGATACAAAAGTTTTAGGATCTATAAAGTAAAGCGGTAATTTCAACATCTCAATCAGAAACACTCAAACTATTTGAAGCACCATCAAACTTCTCTTCAAAACATTTGACTTGTTTTTGTACGCTGCATCTGATTTGATATTTAAACAAATCAGAAAACAGGACTGTACCTTTCTTAGCACATCCCTCAACTGCAAGTGATCCTGAAGAAGCCGTCCAGAATAGACAAGTCTCTGATCCTTGGATAACTGAAAGGAGGAACATAAACATGGACTTTTTATAATTAAGCTTGTCTAAATGCAAGAAAGGTAGGGTTTGATTAGAAATGTGTTCACTGAAATCTCCTAAAATAAAAATGTCAGCATGTAAAAAAAAAAAAGAAATCATCACTAAGTGCCAGCAAAGTATAAGGAACTAGAATCTGAACTGCACAGCTCTGCATGGGGCTCTCGGGCAAAATACCAGCAATGCCAAACATTCCTGTAGAGCAGGTGGCATCTAGCTGCCATTTCCTGAAGTCAACAAGTAATTTTATAGGATTCTTCTAAAAACACTTTTAAATCATCATAAAAACATGTTTCAAAAGACCTAACCTTGGCTAAAACGGTAATTCTGTGATTTACAAATAGAATGCTCTTTAAAAGTCATAAACAAACCTTTCTCGAACCCGGCCAAAGCACAGAATTATGACATACTTAACTGCTTATTTTAAGTCCTTACGTATGAAAATAAGCAGGCCACCCAAGATGTAGTTGAGTTTGTTACTTCATCTGACCAGATTACATCACTTGCTCACCAATGGATCCTCTGCAGTGAATGGGTGCCAACAGAATGAGTCCAAACAGCTGATAAAAACACAATAACCCACAAGTAATCTACACAACTGACTCCAGTCCATCAATTAACATCTTGTAAAGTCAAAGCTGCATGTTTGTAATAAACAAATCCATCATTAACCTCAATCCATCAAGTTTAAACGGTCACTTCTGGACAAAATACCAGTCCATAATCCAAAAGAACTCTTACTCCAGTGAAAGATATATTTGTTTAGAACTGTTTTGGACTGTTTGTGCTTGTAAACGATAATTAAATAAACACGCAGCTTTTAGCTTTTCACAAAACATGGACTGGAGTTTTGTGAATTACTTGTGGATTATTGTGATGTTTTTATCAGCTGTTTGGACTCTAATTTTAATGGCACCCATTTACTGCAGAGGATCCATTGGTGAGCAAGTGATGTAATCTGTTCAGATGAAGTAACAAACTCAACTACATCTTGGATGGCCTGATGCTGGTGAGTAAATTTTCAGTATTTCTCATTTTTGAGTGAACTATTCCTTTAAAATACTGCACTAATGATTAGTGAGACACTAACACTTGGTCATACTACTAAACAAAGAAAGAAAATGCTCCTAATATGATTGTTCACATAAATACAGTTGTTGGATAATTGGCAACAGACTGACTTACTTTATAATAGAATAATAGTCTTGACAATAATATAAACTCACCGGCTTGCTAGGATACACTTTGGATATGTGTTTTTTCAACTTTTCTACTGTCCAATTCAAAAAACAATTAATGGTCTGGTCATCATACTTCTGGTTGGGTGCCTTGATGACAAGAGTAACGGGGCTGTCAACTGTACCCTGGTCCATGGTTCATAATAAAGCAGCGCTTGAACTCTGAAACAGGAAAATCACACTGCACTGGTTGTCCTGTTCAAGGACAGGGATATTTTCCTTCCTTAGACTTGATTCATGGTTGATAAACTGTTTAAGTATCCTTCATGTTGCTCTCCAGACAGTCTCCGCACTCATCAGACATACAATTTCAGCGCGAGGAATGTGGCAGCGGCAGGTGGATGCACTCAATCAGCCTATAAAGAAAAACAGAGGGAGAAGAAATATGTTACTCGTAAATGCAAATGTGCCACTTCCTTCTGTATAAAATACCAGTTTTGCCTGCTAACTGGCCTGTTAAATCACACCACTGGCATACTGGCATGAAGGCAATGGTAGGTAGAAATTAGATGATAAGCTCATTACACTCTTAACACCTAACACAAGCATGGCAGCTCTGAGTCTTTACATTTTGTGTGTCAGATGTCAAATCAAAATTATCCCAGCAGTTGGATCAAATCTACATAAAATGATGTACAGCTGAAACCATTTACTAATTGACATGTGACATTTACATATATGACGATGGCTGACGCTTTTCAACAAAAGTAAATTATCATAACATAAAACAATACAATTAAAAATAATTTATGAAATAATACGATAATACATGCATCATATTCGTGACAGTTATCAAGCACATACAGATACAAGACTAGTAACGTTACTAAGTAACTAAACAAAACACTACAACACATATTGTGGCCTCAAATTAACTGTTTGTCTGCTTGATCAGAAAATGAATATGAATTACTAAAGTTTTATATTTAAAATGATTGTTTAACGGTAAATTACCAGTAACGTTAAATGCACAGAAAACAAACACGCATCAGACGATAATGACCAGCTAGCTAGCCCGAGCTAGCCAGTGAGCTACAGGCTCAACATTAATCCCACAGACAGCAAGAATGCTCGATATGAGTCGGCATTAAAATAAAGAGAGTATTTTGTAGACATCAGAAGAGAAAACAAAAAATATACGCACCCGAGTAAAAATATCTTCCCCAAAGATTGTTTTCGTGTAAAATGGAGTCACTCCGGGTGTAACTCCGGAAATGTCGTCAGTGACAGCGGAACAGAGAAGACAGTTCCTAAATTTGGGCTTCATGACTGTCCACGACTTTCCTGTTCCTTTCAAAGAATACAACACTGTTCTAAGAGCTATTCCCACAGGTCCAATCCAATGCAGCTGGTCAAGGTCCATATTTTATATGGACACAAAGATACAAAGGAGTCGGCTTTGTTAATGGATGGCATTTATGACAAGAAATGCAATAATAAACACATTCGCCTGATTTTTCAGAAGAGAGACCGTATTTTTCCTCGTGGCAGATCCCATTGGGCTGCCTTAATTGACAATAGGCTATAGACTGGAGAAGAGCATGGCTGTTACCACATAAATATTTTCTTCCTAACAAGACCAAAGAAGCCTACTTTAAAATACTGCATAAAACATGCCGTTAATTTAACTGTGTCCGAATATGTTGATATTTAAAATATTTGCACATTTTGTGGTAATGAAGATGAAACATTAATACATTTATTTTTTACTTGTGAATTGGTTCAGAAGTTTTGGTTGGACTTACTCCCATTTAAACATGTGTACGATTACCCTTCGTTGATTTATTATTATTTATTTTTTTGAATGCTTCTTGATGTTTCCCTGAAAGTGTTCGTATATTTCTGTTTTTGAATATAAAAAAAAGTGCATTACATTTGGAGATGTTTCCACATACATAAAAGGAGCAGGTATGTACTGACCTGAGATCAGCTTTGCGATTTCTTTCTTTTATCGAATACAGCTATATTGTAAAAGCCGTTAATTCAGCATGAAGGCGAGGCCTCTTCTCAAAAGACAAACACCGGTTCGTGAAAGAAAAATAGGCTATTCCAATTCTGTACCACACAACTCTTCAAACTTAAACTTATTATTTAACATTAAATGCAGCTAAACTATGTAACTCAATTACATAGGATTTTTTTTTTTTAGATATAATTTCCCCATAACTTTATATGCACCTTGTTCAAAAGAGTTTGTCAATCAGTCAAAATGAGTAATTCAAACAACCTCAAATCAGGGAGCAATTTTGATATAGTCAAGTCAAGTCACCTTTATTTATATAGCGCTTTTAACAATACAGATTGTGTCAAAGCAACTTTACAGTATTAAATAGGAAACTAGTGTGTCAATAATGCAAAATGACAATAGCAAACACTCATTTTTTTAGTTAAAGGCAGTTATCATTGAATTTCAGTGATGTCATCATCCAGCTCAGTTCAGGTTAAATTGTATCTGTGCAATCAAGTCGATGATATCGCTGGAAATTAAGTGTCCCCAACTAAGCAAGCCAGAGGCGACAGCGGCAAGGAAGCAAAACTCCATCGGTGACAGAATGGAGAAAAAACCTTGGGAGAAACCAGGCTCAGTCGGGGGGCCAGTTCTCCTCTAGAGCAGTGAATCTCAACCTTTTGGCGTACCGGACCCCAATCCAATTCAGAACCATCCTCAAGGACCCCCAGAACAAAATTGACTCGTATCATTTGTGTCTTTGTGAGGACCAAATGCAGTCAAGTATAATTCAAGTTAGCTGACCTGTCCAGTATTTGGCCATATCATCAGCTATATTGGATTTTTCTTTCATGGGAACATGTCATGTCAAAATATACAAAATTTATACAAAAAATCATACTTTATACGGCCCCCCTGGCCTTATTCAAGGACCACTAGGGGTCCACAGACCCCTGGTTGAGAAACACTGCTCTAGAGCATTTGTGATTAAAAAAATATAATTTGTTTAAAAAATAATAAAATGTTTAAAGAAACACAAAGAAAGTTTCTAATGAAGCCTTTATAATTTAAAGTTTCTGTGAAAGATGAGTGTATGGGTATGTATGCTTTAGCATTAATCATTAAATGTGTTGTTTAAAAAAATATATATATTTATTAAACAACAAATTCTAAATTTAAAAAACAATAAAATATTTAATAGAAATAAGTATTTTTTAATTGCACAAACAAGTGTTCACATTACATACAGAATAAAACCAATTCTCTAAATAAGGTTAATGATGCCTTTATAATTTTATCCAATTATAAAATGTTACTATGAAAGATGAATGTGTGGGCATGCTTTAACATTATAAATTAATACAGAATACAAAAAAATAAATAGAAATACATTTTAATCTCACATTACATACAGAATAAAGCCAGTTCTAAAATAATAAGCATTTTGTGGTACAGCCTCAAATATAATTTACAGTCCAGTGTATTTTGTTATTATAAAAGCCATGCCACATCGTTCTTCCTGTGTTTCAGTTCGATTGAGATTGCTTCAATTTGTTTAAAACATCCTGAGTAAGTCTTTTGCTATACTTATTAATCTTGTGATGACCGGGCATCCATCCAAGGAGAAAGCGATGAAAGTCTGTCCAAGCGAAAGCGAACATGCTTCGCCATTCTTTCTCCAGCTCTGGAAAGTTGGCCTTCTCGTCCAAAGATTTCCGTAGCTCTGAAAAATAGTGATCCAGAAGGCCAGGCACTCTCTTTTCACACTCTTTCTCATCCATACAGCTGCCCAAAAAGTAAATAACATCCTTCATCCCACATCCTCCACCAACATACTGAAAATCAACAGCTGCAACCTGTAAACCATCCATGGAGAAGCAGAAATTAGCTAGTTTTGCATCACCATGTAGAATTGTCTTAAAGTGGCAGTTGTTGAGGATGCTGTCTATCTCTGCAGCAGCTGCTTTGAGTTTTTGATCTGACATGGCTTCTAGCTCTTCAGGCCTTGTTTCTAAATGCCAATATGTGCCTATAGGCCAAAGCCCTTCTGGGGCAACGTTGAGGAAAAGTGCATGTAAGTTGGCAATCCAGCTGAGGCAGGCCTTTATTTCAGCATCATTAACATAGGTTTTTCTCACCGGGAATCCGACAACATCAAGGTCCTCTAAAACAATCAACTGCTCATCACCAAATGACTGGACAGCAAGACAAGCAGGAACTCGGCATTGCTCGTTGGTAGTGTAATTTTGGTACCAGTGACTTTCTACTTGATAGGATCGCACCTTGCGCTGGTGAGATATGTCTGTGTTCCAGCCCCCCGGATGCTTCTGGTTTTGGGGAAACATCACATGTTTGACAACCACAGAGGGACGGTCACATCCCTCCAAGTGGACTCGTAATATTTCACCATAACCGCTCCACAAAGTCTGAATCTTTGTACCAATCTGCAGAGACTTTGCTCCACATGCTTTCAAAACTAGGTCTTCGTGTTCCTGCTTCATTCTGGAGATTAAAATTAGCAGAACATTTGGTTTGAATTATAATGCATCATCATTTAGCGTCAAGTTACCACTGAAGAAGTAATTATTAGTACCGGAATAAAAGTCAGATATAAACGGATTCAGTTTAGATTTTGGGCTGAAATTGAAATTGACATAATTTAGGAAAAGTCTGGATAAAACGATATCTTGGTTGCAGCTTGATCATTGAATGAATAACCATAAAGGTCAAAATAAAACAAAAATGAATGCAAATCATTAAATGTTTTGTCGTATCTCAAAGAGCAAAGGAGGAATCGGCGAAATTGGCAAGCTGCTGACTTTACGATACAGCTATGTATACATTTACCTTATGTATCCTGAAGCGAAACGTGTTCGGCTCGGCAAAGGACGATGAAAATGAGGGTTCATCTTCCGGCATACAGAACAATGCATTCTGGGAAATGTAGTCTTTGGATGAATAAAATCAACCTCAGTATTCTTTTGACAATTGTGTTCTCATTGTTATTTCTCAGAAAAGATAATTGGATACCACGAGGAAATTGACTTTTTCTCCAGTGTGTTGTGGATAGTTATTAAAGGGAGAAACAAAATATGTCTGACTATTATTTTTTATTAAGTCTTTTGAGTGACAATGATGAGTGTTCTACACAGCGTTTTACGACCTATGATGACTGGAATGCTGGGAATCCTTTAAAAGCTGAGTAAGAAAACATAATCGTTTTGAGAAATTCAGAGTTTTAATGAAGCTAAATAACATAATAATATAATGGCTTCTTAGAGTCAATACGATTAGCTCTAGAATAACATAATTCTGGCTGCTGGTCCTTTGTCATGTCTTAACAAACAAACACTCTGCATTTTTTCTGTTTGGAAAAGAGTAAGATGGAGAGTCTGGTGAAATCGAATGAGATTAGCAGATTAAAACACTGAATACAGAGAATAAATCCATAGCATTATATGCGTTTCAGTTCATCACTGGAGCATCACAGTTTATCAGGTGAGCACAAATGATAACATATTCCAGTGTGCTGTTGAGCTCCATCCATCATCTCTTGGTTTTGGTCGTTGTACATTTTCTACAGGTCCACCCTCCACTAGAGGTCAGTCTAGGCTTTAGTATTTTTGCGCAGTGAGATCACTGGTCTGACTTCTCTTTAAACCCTTATGTTTGTATTGTGGAATAGAATTTCATACATTAAAACTTTATGAGAACTCTGCAATGTATTTGTTTAAAAAAATGATCATCTTGACTTATAGTGTTACATTTTTGTGCTACCTACTTGTAGAGGTGCACAAGAACAGAGGGGTCGTGTGATAACTTTGTATGAACTGATTTTATGTGTGTCCACCACTGACTCAGAAAACCAACCTTCTTTTTCTCATCTCACCCCCAAATGTCCATTTTCAAACATGTGGCTCCCATAAACATGTAAATAATATGTGCGACACACACATAAAAATCACCTACATCTGTTTTTATATATATACTGTATATATATATATATATATTTAAGTATAGTATATAAGTATATAAAATTTAAGTTTTTAAAGAAGTCTCTGACAGCATTTATTTAGTAAAAAATACAGTTAAAATACAATTTAAAAGGTATTTTCTTTTATTATATATTTTAAATTGTAATTTATTCCTGTGAGAGCAAAGCTGAATTGTCAGCAGCCATTACTCCAGTCTTCAGTATCACATGATCCTTCTGAAATCATTCTAATTGGTGCTCAAGTAACATGATATATTTGTATTTATTTATTAATTTATTTCACATTACCCAGTATCATGCTTTGTTATTAGGTCATGTAAACTTGCAACACTGTTGAGACTGAATGTTTATGTATCTTTTTATATATATACAGTATATATATATATATATATATATATATATATATATAATAATATCAATTGCAAGAGCAAATATTGTGATAACAGCTAACAAGAAAAAAACAAGGATTAGGATAACAATTTATACTATACTTATTAGTATTCTGAGTTCTGTTTGGTATTCAGTATTGAAACTTTGATTACTGGTAATTAATACTTTTAAAATAACAATTATTACATTAAACATATATATATCATATTAAAGTGCTTCTCAATCCAGTGGTGATCCATACACTTCAACCTCACACAGTGTTAGATATTCCTCCCGTCCTGGAATAACAACATTAATGTAACGTCCTTCCGTTCCATCACATTCAAAGGTGGTGGAAAACCCAGGAGGAATGGAAGAGATCACAGCACACCTGAAGAAATAGTGAGTTAAACATTTTGAGACATTCTGAACGACCATCCATATTCAATGCAGTGTAGCAAGTCAACTTAATTAAATATAAGTGATGAGATTTACCACACACACACACACACACGCACATACAGTATTGCACCCATTTGTAACCAAGTTATATGTTACACTTTTAGCATTATAATTTTCATACTGCAGTAAATTCTCAGTGTATTTAATGAAAAATTGAGAGAGCTGAATCATTTACCTGGGATTGTTATTGCCATTGTTGTCTAGACTGTTTCCAATTCTGATTTCTGCCCCATTCAATCTTTCAGGAGCACTGTCTGCTCTGTTTGTAATTACCACTGAAAACACTTTGTGCCTTTTCAGTAAATCCAGTCTCCACCAGGGATTGAGGTTATTTGAAGCGTGGGAACATGAACCATGACTGTAATCACCATCTTTGTTACAATGGCATTGGATGCAAAGCTGTTTCCATAGAGGGAAATCTGTGTAGCTTTCGCTTTTAAAGCCACATTTTCACCTAAAACAATACATGGGTTCCAAGTGAATTCATAGTTTTGAATAAATAACTTGCCTTACAATCAGGAAAAGGAATATATGACAACAACATTGTTAAAGCTGCAGTCAGTAAGTTTTGCCTCTTTGTCGCATCTCTGTTTGAAAACCTGGAATTGCAGCTGGGTGCGGAATTATCTAGCTTGCTTGGGTTGTGAGTCGGCACGGCTCCAGCGCGGATTAATCTAATTTTCTGAAGAGTATGTGTGTGGCAGTCAGTCACCGCACCGGTGTGGATATTTAGTGTACTTCGCAATCACAGATTCTAGCCTACATCTTGGAATATATGACTCAAATAAGCATATTCACCGTATATTGCCATCTGAACAAGTAAGTAACAAGTCTACAACGTTTGTTCTGACCAGCTGAGGAAAAAAGCATTACTATAAATCTCGCTACCAATGGTGATTAAATCTAAAGATCGGTTAGCTCATATCACATCAAACCGTTCAAATTATTATTATTGTTATACTTTATTCTCAAATGATTAATATTAACAACATCAGCACTGGTGACTATGAGTATAGTGTGTATTAGCGTGTAGATTTCAATTTCTAATCTAATTGTCATACTCTTCAAATGTCATATTAAGAAATTATTTTAACCCAAAAAGCAAATTATGCTTCTCGCGAGAGTTCCTCAACCAACGACTCGGTCTGACATGACATCTCGCGAGAGTTCCTCAACCAACGACTCGGTCTGACATGACATCTCGCGAGAGTTCCTCAACCAACGACTCGGTCTGACATGACATCTCGCGAGAGTTCCTCAACCAACGACTCGGTCTGACATGACATCTCGCGAGAGTTCCTCAACCAACGACTCGGTCTGACATGACATCTCGCGAGAGTTCCTCAACCAACGACTCGGTCTGACATGACATCTCGCGAGAGTTCCTCAACCAACGACTCGGTCTGACATGACATCTCGCGAGAGTTCCTCAACCAACGACTCGGTCTGACATGACATCTCGCGAGAGTTCCTCAACCAACGACTCGGTCTGACATGACATCTCGCGAGAGTTCCTCAACCAACGACTCGGTCTGACATGACATCTCGCGAGAGTTCCTCAACCAACGACTCGGTCTGACATGACATCTCGCGAGAGTTCCTCAACCAACGACTCGGTCTGACATGACATCTCGCGAGAGTTCCTCAACCAACGACTCGGTCTGACATGACATCTCGCGAGAGTTCCTCAACCAACGACTCGGTCTGACATGACATCTCGCGAGAGTTCCTCAACCAACGACTCGGTCTGACATGACATCTCGCGAGAGTTCCTCAACCAACGACTCGGTCTGACATGACATCTCGCGAGAGTTCCTCAACCAACGACTCGGTCTGACATGACATCTCGCGAGAGTTCCTCAACCAACGACTCGGTCTGACATGACATCTCGCGAGAGTTCCTCAACCAACGACTCGGTCTGACATGACATCTCGCGAGAGTTCCTCAACCAACGACTCGGTCTGACATGACATCTCGCGAGAGTTCCTCAACCAACGACTCTTGCGTTGACCGTTGCGCAGGCGCAGTGTTGTTTTAAAACATTTTCCACGGACTAGCCTCTATCGCTAATAAAGAAACAATGGCGACAGCGGCAACTGCAGCGGGCGGAACGGGCTCCGGAGGACCATCGGCCGGCCAGGCGGGCGCCGGTTCCTCGATCGGACGTAAAAAAGACGGAGGGCCTTCTTCCAAATTTTGGGAGAGCTCGGAAACGGTGTCTCAGTTGGAGACAGTTCGGCTGTGGATTGGGAAACATTATAAGAAGGTCTGCGGCTCGTGAGGCGCCCGTTGAATGGGGGCGCGCGCATCACACAATAGCAACAAGAAGCGGCACGCCGCTTGCTTATTGTTTATTTGCTGTTATAATCGATTATTCGAAAGAGTCGAATCAGAGCAGTGGTGCAGATGTTGCTTAGGTTCCAGGCTGGCATTTTAGCCAGCGAGTTTTGCTCTTGTGTTGTTTTAAGCAGAAGTGTTGTGGGCTGTTAAGTTAGCTGGCGCGCTAACGATAGTGACTGAAATGCGTGATCTGCCATCATGATGGCTGTCTTAAAATATGCCAAATTACTGTCTTTATTTTCAAAAATTTGGGACTTGCTCGGCTTTTTTTTAAAGCCCACTGCTTTAGATATCAGAGGACACTTGGTGGTTCTCGCCACAAAGCTTCGGTTGTTTATGCTTAAGTTTATTTACTGATTCTCTAATGTTTATTCATTAGAAGTTCTGGTGGTACCATGATTCAGTGATGGTATAATATTAGGTACATGTGATACTGAATAATTATCATGGTCACCCATCATGGTATGTATATGGTACTGTAAGGTATGTCAAGAATACCATAGTATTTATAACGGTACTGTGTCCATTTAAACCATGGAACTTTTTTAGTGTGATATCTGCCCCAAAGCTAAAACGCATGCGTTTATATTGTTTAAATCAAGTGTGATTGTTTTTCTTTGGCAGATATTTGTTGGCACAGGATAATTCACCCTTGCCCTTTATTGTCCAATATTATTTAGTCTCCTGTAATGCACTTTTGTGAATGAAGTTCATTTATTATGCATGTCCAGAATTATTTCTTCAAATAAGAT